GAACGACGAAGTGGAAATACAGCCATGTGGAAACCAAATTGGTGAGCTATGGGAGGGGTCAAAGAAAACAATGCGAACCATGTTCTTCATCACCTGGATTCTGATGCTAATTACAACAGCAATGATCATTATCAGTATTTCAAAATGAGTCGGTAGTCGAGTTCATGCATTTCGCGTTATTAGTCAATGTTTTCTTATTTCGAATTTGTAATGTTTAATTATTCCAATTTCGATCATATTGTTGTAGTACTTAAGATCTTGTAATATAACCCTTGAAGAAGTATGTTTTCTCGATAAATATAATTCCAAGCTCCTGCCAAACCACCGTAATTATTGTGGACACGAAATATAAATTCGTCTACGTGGCTTGTTCCATAAGTACGAAGCAAAATAACGTAACATACATTTGGAATATATAAATACAAGAGCAAATATAACAAGACTGTGGAACGGATCGGTATATAAAAACAAGATGTGACACACATAGGGTGAAGCTTTACTGCAAACTTAACGAAACGATTGGTAGTAGAGGATTGTTTCGACATTTCAACTTGGAAGACATATCCAGTTACTTAATTATGAAAAGGTGATAGTCAATGACTTAATAAAAATTGGTTTTATGGTTATACAATGCAATTGCTCAAAATAATAAGGGTTGTCTATTTATCACGTGTCAAGTTTGACTAGAACGTGTGCGTCAACTGTCCAATGTAGGGTGAATAACACTGGATCATAGCCCCCTAATCATCGCCATTCTCGAATTAAATTACAGATTACGCAAAACGGAACCTATTTGCCTCCGAACCAACTCTCTTCTTCTTCCTCTCCTCTCCATCAGATCCGTTCTTGCTTCCCTCGCTATCTAACCAATTGGATCGCATCTTTCGGGGGGAGAGGTGAAGGTTTGGGTACGAGGAGGAAAGAATATTCTTTGATCTGATTTCACAAAGGAGAGATTTTTGTTCTGATTTATTCAACACCATGGACGTTCCTAGCTCTTGGGATGCTTTACGCAAACAGGTGTGTTTTTTTATTCGAAGCTTCTGGGTAGCGTCTGAATCGATATTCTTCTTCTGGGTTCCAATCAATTTGGGGGAATTGATTGGTTATGTCTTGTTGGGTCTATCTCAAAGATGAGATTTTTATTCAATGATAACTCAAAAGGAAGATGCTTTTGTGTTGTTTGCATTTGGGTTTTTTACAGGCTAGAAAGATTGAAGCTCAGCTTGATGAGCAGATGCATTCATATCGCAGACTTGTTTCCACAAAGGCTTTGATAAAGTCAGATGGTGCTGAGAGTGATCTTGAAGCTGGGATTGACTTATTGCTAAGGCAACTGCAACAAGTTAATGCGCAGATGCAAGCTTGGGTTTCTTCTGGTGGGTCTGAGATGGTCTCTCATACTTTAACTAGACATCAGGAGATTCTTCAGGATCTCACACAGGTATGATTATGTTCTGATTAGCAGCAATGCAATGAATGTTAGGAATAGTTTAGGAGTTAGGACTTAACCTTTGTTGTAGAATGAGCTTTACTTCTGTATGTGTGTGTGACGCATTCAAAATGCAGGAGTTTTATCGACACCGATCAAGTCTTAGAGCAAAACAAGAGCATGCTTCACTTCTTGAGGACTTTAGAGAATTTGATCGGACTAGGTTAGACTTGGAAGATGGGGATGGCTCTACAGAACAAGCCTTGCTTAAAGAACAGGTGGGAATCAACCGCAATACAGCTCAGGTATATATAATCCTTGTTAGACTATACATCTGTATCATACACACATAGATGTGCTTGCTTTCTCAATTTAGTTAAACACCCCCATGGCTTATGTGAACTGCGTATAATATATAAAATGTGCAGATGGATGGTGTCATTTCACAAGCTCAGGCAACACTTGGTACACTCGTCTTTCAGCGTTCAACTTTTGGAGGCATCAACTCTAAACTTAGCAACGTCACCAGCCGTCTACCCACGGTACAAGGAGCTTTCTTTTTGTGTGGCTATTATAGAATATCATCTGTATACCTCACTCTGCAATACTATTTTAAACCCACTGCAGGTGAACACTATTCTGTCAGCTATAAAGAGGAAAAAGTCAATGGATACAATCATTCTTTCACTAGTTGCGGCTGTATGCACATTTCTCATATTCATCTACTGGCTAACCAAGTAAAAATTTGCCCACTTTTTTCAATTCATCTCTCTTGGGCCACGTCTGGTTTTCCCATGATGTTAATTTGTTATGTGATCATCCATCGGTGTTTTAGTAAAGAATCTAAAGATCAAAAAACATAAATATTTTGTGTACAGCAATACTTCATTCATATCTTTGCAGTTTTGATGAGCTTATACAACCCATTTCATCTTATACTGGATTTGAGAATGGTAGTAGTGTGGCTTTGAGAATGATACAAACACATAAAATTCTAATCATAAATAATTATGTATCCACTTGGTACATATCTGTATCATACCTGTGCGTTCATCTTATGCTTAAGAATGTGACAAGAAGGCAATGAGAGGCTAAACATCGTCAGGCAATGAGAGGCTAAACATCGTCAGGGTCACTGCTTGTACATTTTGATGTTGGAATTGATCCATCAAACATGGTTGCTTTGTATCTTTATATATTTTCCGTCTCCCGCCACAGTTTCTTCTCAAGCTATTCCTTAGTATGAAAACAAGTAACGGATCATCTTCAGACAGAACAGTGTCTGATGGTCTGAACGTATATTGCAGAAAGAGATATCTGCTTTCATTCATTATACAGTAGTGTTCAGGCACGTTCATTGGTTGCTAATAGAACTGGATATAATATTTCAAACAGAATGTAATTCCCTCTATTGAAGTTAATCACATGTAACAAAAATCATATAATGTGTTTTTTGAAGTTTGAAGAAATAAAACTGTGCTGAAACTGTTTGTTAAGCCCAACAATCCTGCAAAACAAGCCGATCCAAAGAGTTCAGTCAGTCAATACCGATCTAAACAACAGACCTAAAGAAGGTTCGAGCTTAAACTGTTTGAAAAGAGTACTCACTCAAGTGAAGTACTTGAAGACTCGTAAAGATTTTCAGCTTTTCAGGCTTCCTTTTCACTAATCCACTCAACAAAACTGTCGAGAACCAATGGCCATGCAAGCTCTGGATTGTATTCTGTCATCTCAGGGAAACTTATCTGCATATGTTATAAACACGTCTAGTTAGTTGATGAAAACTGCCAAGCTGGGAACTAACAAGATTTAAGAAACATACCTCATTGCAGAACCTGTAAAAGCCCATCCACTGATCCATGTTTATGACTTTGTAGTCGTTTTGGATCTGTTAAACAAAAACCATATGATGATAAGATTGCAAATAAAAACATTCTGGACATGAAAAGATATTATTTCAAGTGATGTAGACCTTCAAATACTCGACAAAGTAGTCAACTTGAGCTCGGAAAGTAGATCCCATAACAATATCTAGGAGTTGACATATGGTCTCTATGTCTATGCTCTTCTGCTTTTCCTCTGCATTTGAACAATAAACAAAGATCAAACAAGCATATAAAAATGTGAAATAAAAACCGTGAAATACAGATATCTCATGCAAGAAGCTGAGGTTGACCATACCTGTTAAGCAATAACGGAAGGCATAAGCATAGAAATCTGCAAAATTCGATTGCCTCCTGACCTTAAAGAGATAAGAAAACAAGGATGAAATAGATCTACATGATTCAGTACTGAGAAGATGACAATCAATTTAAGGAAAATGAAAGCATAATAAAACTTTGAACCTCTTTTTCGAGCTCGGGAAGGGCTTTCTTCAATTTATTGATTGTATCAGCTCTTAAAGCCTTAAGGCCTCTTCTCCACTCCTCCTACAAAATGTACAATGAGCCACAATATAAGAAAGTATAAAGTGCTTATAAGACAAAGTGATCTTACCTGCGTAAAGTAACCTTGTTTCTCAGCTTTCATTTTCCTGCAAAGTGAGAGAGTAAATGAAATATAGCTCATAGATGAATTAAGAAATGTTTAGATGGATGATAAAAAAGTACCAAGCAAGCATCAAGATTCTGATATCAGTATGAGAAACTTCCAAATTGGAGCAAAGTTCCTCAATTCCTTCAGGACTGTTCAGGTAACATACCAAACATATCGGAAGCAATGAATGTTATGGCGGGAACTTAGATAGATACAACAGAAACAATAAGCTTGAATTGGATACTCTTACTCAATGAGATTGGAAGATATATTGGCGTATTGATTAAACAGATGATCGATCCGATCCATCTCTTTAGTCGTCGCCTTACTCGAAGCTGAACCATTAAAACAACAACACCACACAAAATTCATAACCATTTGGTTCGACGAAGAAGATTTCAAAATGTCAACTACTGATTTTGAGGTGTTCAATTATTCAAAGCATCTAATATTTTACTATCATTCTCCTCCAGCTCACATCAGAAGAAATCTAACTTTCCAGCATAATTTACACATTAAATAAACCCTAGGAAAGATTCCGTTTCAATGATCGAGAAACCTGAGCGAAAGAGATCCGTGGTGGAAGTTGTGATTGAATCAGATTTCTTCTTCGATGCTGCAGAACGACGCATCTGTAAAAAAAAAAAAGAAGAGAGAAAATCTCAGATAGTTAGCAAAAACTCAGAAGAGGAAATAGAAGAGACTGAGAAGAGGTATCACCACGAACTAGAAGCTTCTTTAGATGAGGGAGAAATCTGAGAGACGACGATTGATACCGCAACCGTTTTTATATGTATCTAATCTATATACGTATTTATAGCGCAAGTATCCACACAGTTATAACAGTATATACTGTACACACTTTTTTTTTGTCAACTACACTTTTTATTTATTTAATTTTTTTTAGTTTCTTATACTTGCAGTCTACTTTCAAAAATCAATATGTATAACATTTTTTTTTTATTCTTGGCCATCACATATCAATATGTGTTTTTTTTTTTTGGAGCAACAGAAATTTAATTCATAAAAATCAATATGTGTTCATGTTATTTGTCAAGAATCAAGATATATACTAAAATGCAAATTAAACACAATAGTTATAACTCAATATTTTTGTTTGACCAACTGACCAAATCCTTAATTATTTTGTGAAAATAGTCCAATTGCATATAAATAATAGTCATATATTACTTATTAGTTTATATTAATAATTCTGATTTTAGCTTTAACATTTTAATATATTTTATGTGTGAAGATAATATATATTTAAGTAAAATATAATTATAAAAATTAAAACGGTGCAAACATTAATATTAGTATCTTTATATATAAAGAAGAGGATACTCTCTTCTCCTTTACACACATCATCAAGTGATGTCACAAAATAGACACACCTTAAGCTGACATCTGTCCACACGCGAATAAACCAACCGGTTTGATAAATTTTTCTTGGGCCTCAGTTTTATATTTTATCAATCCAGAAGCCTATTAATTTTTTTTTTTGAAACGATGTCCGAAACATCGAGAAGGGTTCGTCGACGCCTCCTGCTCCAGACGTCGAGCTTTTCAGATTCCCCAACTGTTTATACACGATCTCTTCGTATGCTTAGATGATATTAACTCTATCATTAATCGCTCATCTACGATGAATGCTAAAGATTAATGGTTTCATGCGGTGATCTTGCGTATAAAAGGGTGAGCTTTTTTGTTCCCATTCTTCATCCAAATTCTCTAAATTCCGCAAACAATGACATTTTTGATCGACTGACTGCTGAGTTCATATTTAATTATTTGTATAATTTAGTTTTGTGGTTTGTCATTAGTCGTTACATTATTTAATCTGTTTATTTTATGTTCGTGTTCAAGTGCAAAGTTGCTTTCAATTAAGCCAGATCCGAGTGGGACACTACAAGAAAACTAAGCCATTACTAGGAAAATTTACTAGGAAAACATTTCCTCGTAAAAATACTACTAGTTTACTTCGACTTTACGAGGAAACATCTTTTCCTCGTAAGGTTCTCGTAAACTTACGAGAAAAGCGTTTCCTCGTAAAGTGGAAGTAAATTTACGAGGCTCTTACGAGGAAAATAATATTTTCCTC